TGCAGGTGATTTGAATCTTCTGCTCTAAGCAACAAAGCCTCTTTGTCCCTTGCTGTATAGACATGTGGGTGTTTCTGAAAATACCAGTAAGTGGGCCTTGCCGAGGGAAGTAACTAGGTTTGGTACCAAAGCGAGCTGCTTTGGTGACCTTGAGAGATTAGTGCACTTTGACCTCCTCTCTCCCTCAGGCCCTGGCCCCTCAGCTGGACACTCCACACCTCCCTGATAAAAGGGAGGTACTTGCCATGTTAAGCCTGGCCCTTCAGCCCCTCGCCCTGTCCTTTCCCTTCCCAAGGGGAGCAGTGAGCCCACCTTCTAACTTGGCTGATCTTGAGGCAGATGAATCTGGAAGCTGAGTCTCTGGGAGTCCTGTCCTGCTCCACAGAGAGTGGCTTCCTTCATCTAGCCCAGGGGACAGTTGACCCCTTAGGCCCCTAAGTTGGCCACTCTTGCCTTCTGATTTATTCATGAACTTGGACATGAACACTTCCTGAAGGTTCCTGTGAACCTGGCACTGTGTTGGCTGCCATTGGGAAATAAAGGATGTGCAAGATTCAGTTCCTATTCTGAAGGACCCTTGGAACTTAAAAGGAAGATGAGAACTGCACATTAGGTGATAAATCAAGACAGCTTATAATGAAGGGCTGAATTAAATATCATCATTTTACACAGCAGTTAAGAACACAGGTTTAGCATTAGGCATCTGGCTTCAAATCTCTTCACCATTATGTTTTGGTGGACTTGATTTGGGGCAAGTGCCTTATTTTTCTCAGACCTTGGTATCCTTATGTGAGGATAATAATTAGACTGGCCTCTGGACATTTCTATGGGGATTCAGTGAGATAGTACATGCAAAATGCTTTGTTCAGTCTTTGACTCATGGTTGTACTGTTATTACTAGGTATTATTTGTCAAAACATATTTGAAAGATCTCAGTGGCTCAGAAATTCTGAATCTAAACACTCACCTTCTGCTTGGTATTCCTCCTGTCTCTGTTCCTTTCCTAGATGATTGGTTATTTTGACTGATCAACTTCCCAAGTTGGCTCCTGGGAAGCCACTTTTAAATACCTCTGTTCCTGCCATTCCCTCAACCATCACATGCATTCAGTTGCAGACCCTACTCATCGGACCTCACAGCTGTCTCCCACATCCATCACCACAGTCAGCTTTAACCGGGTCTTACAGAACCGTGTTGGATACTCAAGAGCCCTCTTAACTGATCTCCTTGCTTCTGCTTTCACCCTTTTCCAAACCAAGTTTACTGTTACTGGAAAGAGCTTTCTAAAATCCAAACCAGATGGTCCCTCCCTTGCTCAAGCCCTTTCTATGGCTCCTTATTACTCTCCATAAAAATCCAGGCCCAAATCCCTTACCGCAATCCACAAGGCCCCTCGTGATACAACCTCTGCCTACTTATACAACTCCATTGCTCATGTTCTCAAGTCTCCCCCATGCTCCAGCTACATAAGCCTGCTCCCCCAAATGCTGCTCAGTCTCCTGGCTCTCCATAGAAATGCACATACTCAAGTCCACAACTTTCTGTCCATCTTTCTTGGAGAGTCACATTCATCTTTCTGTAAACAGGACTGGGCCAGCTTCTCCTTCTCTACGTTCTCACAACAACTTTGCTTATAACAGCGTGGTTTGACTTTTACTTTCACATCTGTCTTCTCCACTAGCATGGGATGTTCTGAAAGGAAGGGATTGCATCTTACTCATCCTTGCAGGTTCATATTCAAAAAGAACTGGAAAGATGGAAGGAAGGAAGGAAGGAAGGAAGGGAGGAAGGGAAGGAGGGAGGGAGAACTGATGGATAGATGGATGGTATTTGAATGAGTAGATGGAGGGATGGATGGGTGGTTGATGGTTGGCTAAATGGATGAATTAACAAAGTGGCAAAAATGTCTATATGTGCTTTCCATACCCAGGTATGTTCAGGAAGGCCTTCAGTGGTTCCACAAAGTCAAGGCTGTGAGGCTCATGGTTCAGGTTGAAAAGCAATATGACTTTGTAGCTCAGCAGCCAGTGGAGCTTTGATCTGGATGCTCCCCATTGTTCCAGTAGGAAAGCTGTGAAGTACTCTTGATCTTAGAGGGAGAGGGGACACCTGCGTGGGCTTTCTCTTGTCGTGGACCTGACCCATGTACTGTTTGCTGACCATAGTTCTGTCCTTGTAGGGGTTCCGTTCACTCCTGCTCAGCCTCTGGGAATCACAGATTCACTTCCAGTTGGGGCTGGAGACTCCTAGCCTGGACCAGGGTAACAGCAGCAGATGGCACAGGTGCACTGTGGCCAGTAGCCACCGTCCGCAGCCCAGTGCTTACCTAATCCTTTCTCAGAGCAGCACATTTCATCCCACTCGTTTTTCTGCTCAGGACAATAATTCCTGAGCAGCACATGGAGCCTTTGTTGGCTCTTCAAGGAAGACTTTTCAGGCCAGCCTATTCTCTAGTGAACACCAGTAAGTTCTGGAATAACCTGAAAATACGGAATCAAGCTCCTGCTAGGAAGAGCCAGCGTGTGACTTGCCCAAGCTGAAGTGGAAAGGCCCCTGGCATGGGACCCGAGCCCAGCCTGGCTGCCCCAGGATCCCCATTCAGGGCTCAGGAAGGAGCAGGCAGAACTCCATTGGCTAAATTTGGCTGCATTTTTATTTTTGTCCAGCCACAAATACCGGCAAAGAAATGAAAATGATTCCTTCCCTTCCGGGAGCCTCAGAGCCAAGCTGGTTTTATTTTTAGTTCCAATTCTGGTTTAGGGCTTTGAGCACACTAAACACCCTACCCACTTCAGGCAGCGGCCACCAGAGTTTAGGATTTTTGCCTAGACTGGAGTCTTGGATGTCTAAATGGAACTCTTACCAAGCTTTGTACAGCTGTGACAATAGAGGGTGGTTCCAGACAGACCCATTTAGAGACCCATTTTTTGCCTTGGGGACCTCCAAGAAAGTCCTTTTCAGGGAGGGCATTGTACCCAGAGTAGATCATTGTCTGGATTGGGGTGGAGGAGGTGGCAACCCGGAAGAAAAGTGGAGAAAAATGAAGAAAGGGAAAGGAGCAGGAAGCTGTCATTTATTGAGGGATTCGAGTACCATGGTGGTTCAGAACCAGGACTCTGGTGTCAGGCTGACTATGCCCAAGCTCTGCCCCTGTGGCCTCTGGGTGTCCTGGGCCCCTCCAGGTTCTGAATTCTTATATAGGAGGTAGAGATATTAACAAGGCCTGCCTAAGCATTGCTGCAGTTGGGACCAGCTGATGCAGCATGTAGCATAGCCTGTGACACACGGTCATCACTACTGTGATGAATATGACTAGGTCATCACTACTTTGATGATTTTTGCCATCTCATGGCAATGCATAGGGTCATTTAAGACAGAGAACTGAGACTTCAAAGGCTAAGTAACTTGACCCAGTTCTACAGTGAGAACACGATTAAACCAGGCCCTGGCTAATCCCAAAATCATAACACCATGCCTCTCCATGGCTCATGACCTCCACCTGTTCCAGAGAGGATTAGCATGGACTATCTGGGAACTGTTCTAAACCAAGAACTGGATCCTACCTCAGCCTTTCACTTTTGTGGCAGGAACACACAAAGAAAGGCTACCAGGGGTGGTGGGAAGAGCAGAAAATAAATTCACAGACAGAAAACAGAGCATGGATTGCCACAGCCAGCAAGAGGGGGGAATGGGAGCAAAACCCCAAATTGGGAATCATGTATGAGGGAAGGAGGGAGTGTGGACTTTGGGGCCAGAAGACGTGGTGACACTCGGTTTGTTTAGCTCTAAGATGGGGATAGGACAGTTATCTCATGTGTGTTTCATTCACTCTAGCTGGAAAAATTCTTCCAGCTTCTGATCCATCTTCGGCCTGGGAAGTTAATGGACACTATTAGATATACGCTTAAGTGATTTGTGGGTTCATCTGTAAAGACAGAACCACTTTCCCTGAATAAGAGATGAACAGATGCTAGGGCATAAGAACATGAGCTAGCAAGGAACAGGGTCTCCCTCTTGGTCTAAGACCCCCAACACAACTTTCATGGAGATCACATGATGGTTGTGTGCCCTGGAAGCTCTGGTGGCCTTCTTTTCTGTGACATTTAGCATTGGCCATTCCCAGCAGAGACCTGCCCTGGTTCTGTGGCCATCATCCAACACTGGCCATCCCTGTCAGGCTGAGTTTTATATCAAGCTACCTCATGCCCAAAGGTTTGTCCCTGATCCAGGGCTGATTTCTGTGTTAGGCATGGTGGGGGCAGTGCCGAGCACCCACAGTGCTGGAAAGGCCCATGAAAATGTTTTATTTTCTTTTAAAATTTGAATAGAAGTGAGTTTTTAGATTGAAATAGTTACATAACATAAAAATTTTGTTTTTTACAGTTGTGTAAAATATAATATTTAAAAAGTTCTTATGAAGAAAGCAGGCTGCAAAGGCAGAAGGGCCAAGACCCAGGAGAGTCATCATGCTGCCTTGCTCTGGTCCAGAGAGCCAGCCTGGCAGGAATTCCACTTGGTCCCTCAACCCAGAGCAATCTGCCTTGACCTCTCCTATGTTCCTATAGCAACTGCCACCCATTTAGAATCTGGGATGCTTTCTCTGGTATTTAATTTGTTTCTGGAGTCCATTTCACATGTCAGTTCTATCACTTGGCAATAACTACCCGGAGCTCATGGGGAGAAAAAGCCCCAAAGTCCCTGGGAAAGAATGCTGTGATCAATTAATGATGTCTGTCCCAGACTCATGACAAATGAGGGAGTGCAGCACTCGTGCTGGGTTTATGCTTATGACTGACCTTGGCCTTGCATCTCTGTGGACTATAAAGCCCGGTCAACATGGTATATGCCTTACACATGTTGAACATCCCATATTGAAAAATCTAGAGAGTCCCTTAATACCTGTTGATGGATGGATGGATTGATTGAAGCAGTATCTGCAAATACTCTTGATCCGATTTAATATGCCCTTGACATCTTTTCGTTCTTCTTTTCCCCTGTAGGCGTCTCAACAAGAATAAGCTCCAGGTCCTTCCAGAATTGCTTTTCCAGAGCACACCGAAGCTCACCAGACTGTGAGTAGCCTTGACTTCTGTTCTCCATGTGCGCCTTCCCTGGTGTTAGTGATGTGCAGGTTGTGATGCCTTCATGTGTGGCACCCTCTGCCATGTGGATCTGCTGATTCAGCCCTGGTGTGGAGACTAGAGCAGGGCTTGGAATGGGGAACCTCCACCCCCACATCTCCACGTCTTGTTTCTTGCTCTTGCTTTCAGAGCTCAGTGGCTTATGTGGCTGATGAGGTCTCGTGACGCGTGGTAGTTGACCCTCCCCCATTGCAAGGAGGGAGGAAACTTCCATTTTACATGGGTCTGAACTTATTTCAGGGGAATTCTGAGGGGGGACTTGGGCGAGTTGATTCACATGAGGCTGCTGGTAGTCTCAGGCAAGACTGGGTCAGGCTAAATGTTTCCATCTCCCTGACATGCTGGCTGGAGGAGTTCCTGCCCATTGCTTGCTGTCTAGCATTTCTAGTTCAGGAACTATGGGTCTTGAGGTCGATGGTTTGATGGGAAAATAAAGAAGCACCCTGAATTTTGCTTTACATTTTAGAATGGTCCAGACTACAATGTGGGGGTGGGCAGGGAGATTTGGAGATGCCCTGTGTGTTTATTCATTGTGAGAGTTTAAAGCTTGGGAGCTGGAGATGCAGGGTGTGGTGGAGGCTGAGTTGTATGTCATGGGTATTCATTGACACTGAACAGCTCCATGACTGTGAACCTGAAATGCTGCTGGCAGTGACCAATATAGATCCTGGGGTGAACTGTGCTGCCCAGGGCCCAACTCTGGGAAAGAAGTAATGACTGTCTGGCTACTTAGCACTCATGACAAAATGAGGGAGTGCAGGCGCTGAGAGTTATAGCGTGGCTGGGGTAGAGGGATCTTGTGTTGTGGCCACCATTCTTCTTCCTGATGGCTGTGTTTAATGCCTACTTATGCAGTCAAACAATGCGTGTAAGGCTCTGGGGTAAGCTAGAAAATATGAAACACATGTTAGTGTGTACACTTAAGAGCAAGCTCTGAATTAGAAGTATGTATTTATATGTGTCTATACACAGACACATGCACATAGACTATGTGCATAAATGTATTTTCAAAGGAAATTGTTGGAACAAAAACAGGCCAGGGATGGTGGGTATTCTGGTGGAGCAGTGTCTTGCTTTCTCTAGGGTGTACCTGTACTTTGTCAAGATCTTCTTGCTGTGCACACTGTTTCTCTGGCAGGGCCCACCTTGCTGACTTTGCTAAAAATAGGAAAGGCCCTGACCCCTTTTCAGACCTCTGGTGCTTCCCCCTGGAGCAAGTACAATCCAGAAGCCTGAGTGTCTAGCAGGGCTGGGTAAGATGCCAAGGGATGTACCAGAAACCATTCTGAGTTTAACTTCCTCTTCCCTGTAAGGTCATCTGTTTGTATCCACAGGGGACTGATTCCAAGACTCCCATGGATACCAGAATTCCCAGATGTTTAAGTTTCTTATATGAAATGATGTCATATTTGCATATAACCTATGCACATTCTTCTTTCAATCAACTCTACCTGGCTTACACTACCTACTATAATGCAATTCTATGTAAGTACGTGGTGTACTGTGTTGCTTAAGGATAATGGTGAAAAAAACATCTGTCCATGTTCAGAACAGATAGATACTTTTTTTTTAATATTTCCAATTTACAGTTGGCTGAATCTACAGAGGACCCATGATGCAGCTCTCCCCTTAAATGCTCACAAAACAGCCATCTCTCCACCCAGCACTGCCTGGTGGGGCTCGCTCTCTCTCTCTCTCTCTCTCTCTCTCTCTCTCTCTCTCTCTCTCTCTCTCTCTCTCTCTTTCTCTGCAAATGCCATGATTTTATTCTCTGTTATTGATGAGTAAAATTCTGGTGGCCTTTTCAACCAGCACTTACCAAGTGCCACAGACTATCTCCTATTCACCTGGAATCTCAGCATTAGTTTCTAGAAAGAGGAAAAGGGCCTGGGGAGCCGGAGCTGCTGGATGGCTGGGGGGAGGTGGGGGCTGAGCACTTCAGCTGCTACCTGAGGGCAAGCCTCCCTGTGGCTGTCAGGTGAAACCCAGTTTTGGCAGGGCTGGTCTTGATTCAGACAAAGGACATGGTGATAACAGGTCTCTAGGGTGCTGAGGCCAAGCATAGGAACCCATGGGCTATACCTGAATCGCCACTTTCTAATTGTGAGAGTTTAGGAGAGTCACTTTCCCTTCTGTGCTTAAATCTCCTTGTTAGTAAAAGAGGGATGCCCCTTCTTTCTCCGTACCTTGCAGAGGAGCTGTAAGTATCCAGGGAGATGGTGGTGCCTGTGTGTTTTCTAAGGCTTAATGTGTTATGAAGTGGAGGGGCCAAGATAACTGCTGTTACTCCTCAGTTCCTGTCTTTGCAGCCTGTTTCTGGTCTCCTCTCTCTGGGAGGAAACTAGGAGTTGCAATGATCATTGAGATAAATTACTCTGAACTTTTGTTTCCAGCCAGAGAGCTGCAGCTGGGAAGAGAGGAAGGGCATTTAACACATTTTCATAACGGTCCCTCTCTGGGTCCCTGGACTGGCACAGAGACTGATGCACATAAGGCACTCAGTCAATGACAGCTGGATGGTAGGTGAATATATGAGTGACACAGGACCAAGGAAATGTGTCTCAGGGAGCTTTGATTCTTTTACCCACCATTCGTTCAGTCATTCACTCATTCATTTCTGTGTTCAGTAAGCTTTTCTCTGGGTGCTGTACAGCCCAGCTTCTGTGCTGGGTACAGAGCTGTGTATGTGAAGGCTGTCTAGCTCTCCATGTGCCCTGATATGATACATTCTGAATGGCTGCCAAAAAGCCAAGAGCTAAATATAATTTTTTTTTTTATTGAAGCAACTATATTAACCCAGGTTTGAGCTATAATCAGCAATTGCTTTTTCTCTTTGGGCTTGATCTTTGATTTTTCTTAATGGCCCCATTATGTCTTTGTCTTATTTTGTCAGTCACTCCAGGGCCTTTTTGGAAGTAAGCAGGGTACAAATTAGAAATCAATAAATGTGCAATCATGAGTGTGTGTACATATGCCACTGGCTCTGTTTTAAAAGAGCACTGTGTCTCAGCAGACAAGGCAAGCATTTCCCAGGAAACCTCCACACTGCTTCTGTGCAGCTGGCTCTTCCCATAGAGTGCTGTGTGGCACAAGCAGCCATTACGAACACTACTTTTCTCTTATTCTTAGACTTGCAGACAAAAGCTGCTTAATGTTCAGTGTTTATCCAAAGAATGCCTTTTGGAAAGGTGATGGTGGTGTAAGAAGACACGTTTGGAGTAGTGATGGGAAAGAGAAGTGGTATTTATTGTGAACCTGTGTATGATAATAACACTACTAACCAGCAAGTGCCAGAAATATGATTAAAATAAGGTTACCTGGAGAGAAAGTCTATTACTGCATGTAACTGAGAGGTCCAGGGGTAATTATGGCCTCTGGAACAACTGAATCCAAGGGTTTAGAACAGAGGTTGCGAAACAGAGGTTCCTTGGAACAAAGGTTGTGATGCAAGACAAAGTGGACTCACCACATGCTAATTTTGCAAGCCCAAAGAAGAGTGCCTTTTTTATCATCAAGTGGAAAAGACCTGAGGGTAGGCTCTGATAACTAGCTTAGACACCTGCTCAAGCAAGTTGCTGTTTCCAATAGGATGGGGTTCTCTGACTGACCCAACTCCTTCAATCTTGTTTGGGGACATTCAAGATCCAGAGTATAGCAGAAGAGTTGTCTAACTTATCCATGGTTGTATAGCCAGGAGACATGGAACTGGGCTTCAGTGCACATTTGTGTCTCTACAAAGCCCTTATGCTTCCTCCTATCCCATACTGCTGTGTGACTACAGCAGAGAGCTGAAGGCCTGCAGAGAAGGACTGACAGTGGCCTGTCAGATATGCCAGTACTTCTCCCAGGCCTTTTACTGGCTGCCCCACTGCACCCCCCTCAGATCCAGCACCATCTGATTCTTGTGTGCATTAGTGGCACATCTGTCCTCTTGTTCTGCGCTCAGGCACATAGATCATAGACCATTTGATCCTAGAAACTAGATCCAGAGTGCCTAGGAGGCACTCTGAGCTTTAGATATCACAATGGTCCACAAGACATCCAACCAGACCTCTGTCATGTCTTGAATACTCAATAAATATTAGCTCACTCCCATCCTTACATAAGGTTGCCAAAAAGTGTAGGGACTTTGCTTCTAATCTTTGAATGCTCCCCGGAATCTAACCCAGAGCTGAGGAAGGAAAGAGGCAGTGGAATAAAGGACTAAGGGGTTGCCAGTCATGTGCCATGAGCCCTAGGGCAAGCTACTTAACCTCTCTAGGTTTCAGGCTCATCATCAGTAAAATAACATAGGCTACGTTTATGGTGTTGTGAGAACAAATAGAAACCATCCAGACACCTTGCAGAATTGAGTACCTCACAGAATCAGTGCCTGGTGGAAGATGGCTGCCATTAAATTTACTGACTGATGGGAGCTGTGCATGTGCTGGGGCTGTGGGATCTGTGGTGCAAACATTTCAGCACCAGGAAAGAGTCCAGGCTCTGGAATTGATGAGAGTTGGATGAGCATTGTACTTAGAGTGGGAAGACCCTGTGCCTCACCCTGGCTCTGCTGCGCACAAGCTGTGTGACCCTCGGTGCATTACTTTGTTACTGAGCTTCAGTGGTCTCACCTAAAAAGCAGAGTGGGTCTGTTACATCACCTGGAGACATCTCTCCTTTCTGCATGCATTTCCAGATTTTTCGTTCACCTACGTGTGGGAGAGGCAGTGAAGGATTTCTGGTTATTAAATGCTGGCGGTAATGTTGCCAGAAATTCTTTAGAAGGAGCAGAAGGGAAGTTAAAAACAGCGATTAAAAACCCTCTGCTGTTCTCTGGATTAGACAGCTTTGGAGGGGCTGAGGGATACAACTGCATTTGAGTTTGACCTTGCCATAGGAGGATGTACAGACCACTGGGGTCCTGTTGGCCCACCTGTCCCAGATTCAGG